TTCTTAATTAGTCTGCTGGTTGATTCCCCTTTTTCTATGTTTATCATTTACAATGAAATTATGGTGCAGGGGGTCAGATTGTGCAATACTGTGATTAAGATATGTGATATGTTTATATTTAAGTCCCCTTTTCCGACCCCCATTCTTGTATCATAAATATGTTTTACTACTTTTCGTCATTTACTTTAATAAATGACATTTTTTCACTTCAACAATATTGTTTGTTTTTACCTGCTTTAACAAAAAAACAATCTCAGTTGTCTGGCAGGAGAACTAAGGAGCATAAAATGCGTTACATAAAAATAATCATACAAAGATCCCTTTAGAGATCTAAAGAGTTCTTTAGATTGCAAACAATTCAAATAATGGAAAAAAACAGTAAATGTTCAACGCCATATTTAATAAAAAATGATATGCTTTATAACTAGGAATAGAATGTAACTTCTTTCAAAAGAACATTTTCCCCTTTTCATGGCACTTATGACACTTTCCTAAATATACATATATTTAAAGAATATAAATTATTCTTAGAAATATAATTTCAAAAATATCTTCTCTAAATTAACATATACTGCAATCTTTAAAAAGGTATTTGAGCTGTAATCTTTTTTGAACTAGATTATAGATATAAAATATTTTTTCTGTTTATCCTTGTTCAGTCCTTTAAAAAAAATTACGAAAAAATAATTAATTTTTAATACTTTGACAATACAATCATTGGTGAATAAACTTCTGGGCCAAGTTCATCTGAATTTACCTGAACAATATCAGTAGTTTAAAGAGCGTCGGTGGTGTAATGGTCAGCATGGTTGCCTTCCAAGCAGTCGATCCGGGTTCAATTCCCGGCCGACGCAATACTTTTTTTGTAGAATATTTTATAACTTTATAAATACAAATCAACAAAGTAAAACATTCCTGCAAAACTGTCTAAGAAGCAAAATGTAACGATTGTATGTTGCTTAACGTCCCTCTCGAGAATTTTTCACTCATATTGAGACGCCACCACTTGCCTTGGAGAGCTGTAAATGTTGTCCTATGCTCGGCCTCGGTTTATAAGGGCTCATCCGAAGGACCGGTCTCCACGTCCTACAGCAGGATTCGCACCCGCCACGTAAGGATCCACTCCTTGCTTCGCGACACTACAGAGCAGATCACTGCACCACGCGGGCGACAAAAATACATGTATAACGAATAAAAGGACCTGTACAATGATAAACAAGTTTACTGAGTGAAAACTGCATAACTATATTGCGATTGATTACGAATTTTAGACAATTGGTCCGTTTTCTGTTTAACTAATCTATCTACATTCATTAACTTTTTTTGGATAAGATCACAATTTTGTATAAGTATGCCCGAGAGAAAATTACACAAAAAAGCACTTCTACCGATTTATACTCTTAATAAATCAGTTCTAGATATATTTATAATTATAGTTTGAGAATCTTCTCCTGTTAGTACTTCATACATATAATAATATTAGATGTCATAAAGTATAAACTCTGTCCGCACCAGGGTCTTGTTTATGATAATTTTATACATGCATTTACTTTTTTAAAAAATAACCCAAAGCACTTTGAAGAAGGTGATGGTAATGAACAGTGGTTGAAAACATTTTTTTAAAGCTACATGTACCATCTCTATAAAGAACTATATGCGGTATATTGCATATGTTTGCCCCCACAAAAGTCAAATTTTGAAAACTTCCTGAAATGTGCTGAATTCAATACATTGTATGAGAAATATAAGTTAACAGAAAATATTATAGTTCCAGAGCAGTGTATTCACAATTTCTGTTTTTATGACGTCACAAACTAGTCCGATTTTATATCCTTTTGCTCAGAAAGAGGACAAAATGGACAAAATTTCAACAATTTAAGCTTTAAAATTTATAGCGCGCATGTGTGTTCAGGAACAATATTGACATATTTCATTGATATTATCATTCTACACATTATATCAAAATATTTATCCTGAACACACATGCGCTCGGTGACTTTTATTTAAAATATCGACGAAATATGTACATTTTTCTGCAAAATTCATAAAAAACTGAAATTTACGTCATATTTGTGACGTCATTACGTACATATGACGTCATTACTTATGAAATTATTCAGTGCTTTGAAGTCAGCATATACTCCCCTGTTTAAGGACTTAATTAAATATTACTCCATCAAAGTTTGATTTTGGGGGGCAAATGTTGGTTAATAACCGCATATAGTTCTTTTGAAAAGAACATATATCATTTACCATTGGAAATTCCTGAGAAGAGACCAGATCTTTGATTCAACAATATGTCAGAATTACCAAGTGTGCTTTTGCGCCTCATTATTACAGACTTATTTTTGTATTTAGATCATGCAGACTACAAAGTTATACATGAGAAGAAAAAAGAAAAACAATTGATGTGGCCTTTGATTAACTCGACATTTAATTATAAAATTGAAGCATTATCATATATCAGTACTTATTTCCATCATATGTTGACATGGTATATCCACGTCAGTTTGAAATAAAAGATACTACAGAGGCTGACACATGTGTTTTACATTAGGATATTTAACTTTAAAAAAGATTTTAAGAGTAACCTCACAACAAAGCTCTATGATAAATGATAAATGTGATAACTTCAACTTTTGAATGGTCAACTTCCCTTACTATTTCTAATATGACTCTAGAAACTGTTTTAAGCTATTCAAAATACATATTTCAAGACCAAAAAAGAAGAGAGAATTGTCATCGTCGCGCGGGCTTTTAGAAGCATTTAAACCAACTAACTTTTTCTTTTTCTGAATGTTGTAGATATGCAAATGTCTGTGTAAGTAATAAATCAGAATTCCTTATCAGTCACTACGTAGCGTCATGGTATAGTATACTTATTGTTTTAACCATATAAGTACGAGCACTAGGCGTTCCATTGGCTGCTTTATTATTATTATTGTAGAAGTCAATTATCAACAAATCCGTTGGCTAGGTAAACCACCATCTGGATTTTAGCAGCAGCCAAGCAAACAATCACGCGACTTTAATTAATTGTTTTAATATGATTAATGTTTTTCATTTGAATTTGTTGCTTTTGATCTTCCCCCAATACAACACTGCTGATTGAAAGCAATTATTACAAATGGTCATGTACCTTTTAGATTGAGTTCACAGATGTCAATCAGATCAGTGCCAAAGTTTGTCTATAACCTTTTCTTGTGAATTTCACAATCTCAAGGGAAAAAAACTATCATATTACTTTAAATCTGACACTATATGAATTAATTTCTGTATTATTTTTTTTACTGTTATAAGTAAAATCATAAAATGAAATTGTCTACTTTATTATGCATGCATTACGTTGAAACGAATATTTTAGACTGTGCAAAATTTAATGACAATAGTAAATGTAAAAGACCATACAAAAACTGAAAACTTATTTTATTTATGAAGATATGCTCCTATATATGTTGTTTGATGTTAAGAATGTAAAATAATTTTTGAGGATCCGTCTTGCTATTATTATTATTTAGAAACTTTGAGCATAAGCTCTCCTGAATAGCACTTTTATATTAAAAAAAATTGCTCCAGAAATATCTTCAGCTCTGTAGTTACTATTTACCGTGCATTTCAAATAGGAAATAGACATAGTTTTCCAAAACAAGTATGAATATTTACATCATCTCATGATAAGGTATTTTTTGAATGATAAGACAGAAATAAGATAAAGATAAACTAGAAATTGAACATGTCCGTTAATGATTCTGAAAATAATACTTAGCTTCTTCACACTGTACACACAATGTGTGTGTGTGTTTTTTAAATTTTGGTCAAGTACTTGTTGCTTTTTTTTAAATAACCTGTTATATTAAGAGGAGCACATAAAATGTGTAATCAGTCCACGGGGGATGCTGACCCCTCCTTAGCATTTCGTCCTACCTATGACAATTTTAGAGGTCCCTATTGCCCTGCTTATAATGTGTATTGTCCCTATAGAATTTTGAGTTTGATTTCTGTTAGTTATCTTGATATTTCATTTTTTATAAAAATATGAAGTGTTGCAGATATTTTTCGTTTTTTTTTTTTTTTGCATTCAATTTAATTCTTTCTGTACTTATTTATCTAGCTGTATTTCTTGTGGTCCTTAGTAAGAAAAATTTCTGTTTTGTATTTACACTTGACAGACGTGATCATTGTTTTTAATCAAAACATCAATGTTATCGAAATATTTGTGGTCTTTGGTCACATTATTGGCGTTCAGAGTGTTTTTGATATTAAGACGATATAATGGCAAAATTTCACAGAAAAAAGGAATTTTCGCCAAAGGATAAACAGATAAACAGGATGTATTTGCTTTTTTACCATTTTTGCACCGCAATTCTATTTTCAATATTTTATCAACTCACTTGTTTTTGTAATTGTGATGTCTAATTTTAAAAGCAATTGTAATTGTAAAGATTTTTTTTATGCATTTTGCTTATTTTATGCCAGATTGTGACTCAGAAATATAAGTCACGATACGGAGATGTAAAATAATATGTAAATCATATGATTTCAAGGAAGACGAAATTAATTAAACACGACCACTTTCCATGTATAGAGCAAATGTTCATTCACAAATCACAGAAAATGTATACACTTTTCACGTCTCATAACTGGTTTGCCATTGGCCAAAATCGTATATATTTCCATGTATGAATACATTTAATGAATGACATTGTTAATAGCTTAATTAATATTTGGTTATACCTGGGCTTTTGCCTTCTCCACTCAGGTGTGCGAGATCTATGGCAGTGTTAGACACCTCTATTAAATCGTTATGTACAATTAATTAAGAGATGACAACACTGCTAACAAGATATGTTTTATGTTAATAATCACAAGGAAAGTGGTTAGCTTAATAGAAAAGTGTCAGTTTGTTTTTCTCATAAACGCCAGAGGCCCCAAAGGGTTCATGTAAACTTTATTCATTCTTTCATTCGACAGGATGCTAATTAAAGTATTAATTAACCTTGAGGTCTTCCCCATTGTTGCCATGACGTCATTCAGGTAAACTAATATATAAAGAAGCAAAGGTTGGTGCTCTGTATCACATCTCATCTAACTACAGCTCTAAGTAATAACTAAAACTTAGACCTGATCATGCCTGAAGGACCGGTGTCTGTTGCTAAAGTTGTAAGTTCAACATTGAAGAAGATCCGCTACGGAGGGAAGACTAAATCAGAGAAAACGGATATGGAACCCCGCAATGTGATCCAAAGACAAGAGATAGAACTGCAAAGATGCTGGGAGGGCAAGCTGGTCTTCCTCCTTCATAATGTGTTCACCAAAAAGGCAAGTTTGTCTCAATTATAGAGCTTTATATTTGCTGATGAAGTCCATTATTTATTCATTTAATGATAAAAGCAATAGCAGATTTTTGCATGATTGTAAAAATACAAATGTTCCTGGGATTCAAAAGATACTTACATATTTTTACATCTTTTTCACAGGAATGCTTACAAATGATTAAAGAATCAGAAAAGCGAGGATTTTCTCCAGCTATGATTCACACTGCTGATGGAAAGTAAGTATATGAAGAATTTTAGCACGATAACAAAAAGTATATATAAAATGTAAAGACTTTCAAAATTGTTTATCATACCTAAAATATACAATTTTTTTTTTATTTTATAGAGAAATTAAAATGACAGACACAAGAAACAACTTCCATAACTTTTTGGACTCTGAGGAAGAAATGGAGAAAATCCACAACAGATTGCGACCATTCATCCCAAGTCTTTGGAGAAATCACAAGATTGTTGGCCTTAACGAAAGGTATGGACATTTGTAAATTCAATTTCTCATGCAAATTAATTTGAAAAACCATTTATTTGATCACATTTTAAAAAAATCTTGACTAAAGTTTATTTTTCTACATTGTCTAGGCTTCGGGTACAGCGTTATGACTCTGGACAATTCTTCAAGCCTCACTTTGACGCAAGCTATCGGCGGGAAAATGGAGAAAAAAGCTTTATCAGTGTGCAGATTTATCTGAATGATGTAAGACTACATTTCGTTAATTACTATGTTCAAATATTCATTAATCAGCTAAGAGCACAGAGAGAAAAATGTGATCAGAATAATGCAACGAATCAATTTCTCATTATAGGACTTCGTTGGAGGAAACACTACATTCTTAGACCTCGCTGAATCAGAGAGAACTGAAGTTGAGCCCAAAACAGGTATAATTAAATGATATTCACGTACAAATTATAGATTTTCTTTTTTCCTGACAGAAGCACTAGTAATTGGATTAATTTATCCAAAATCTCATTTTATTAATAATTTCTTTTTTACTCAAATTAAGGTTCAGTTCTGATCTACCAACATGACATCTTACACGAAGACTCTGCCGTTCTCTCAGGTAGAAAATACGCGCTCAGAACGGATGTCATGTACTCCGCTGAAAAGGTTGAAGACGAAAAAGAACTCCGACGACTCAGGAAAAATGATAAGGGCAAATTCGGAATGTTCATGTAAATGTCGAATTTTATACTTCACTATGATTTCTACGCAGAGATGCCTTGTTTACACAGTGTCCCATCTAAAAACGCCGTCATTGTTGTTTATGTTATTCCAAGCTTCGCTTCATATGTACCTTTAGCCTGGATAGTTAAGACAAGGATCTATCCAGCAATATAGTGTACACCATTCAATACCGCTGTAGTTAGATATAAAAGTGCTCAATCAATTTTCCTCTATTTTTGTGATACACAGAAGAATTCCCATATTGCATTTATGAACTTCATATTTATCCAATGTTTTAAACTCATGTACATGCACTTGTATTTAATTTTCTTTTGTAAATTTTATACATTTTGTACAAAGTATTTATTATGATTTGTAAATAAACAGTTTGAAATTTTTCTATTTTTACTTTATTTGTCAAGAAATAACCACAATTAACATCATGATGTCCAAAAGACCGGTACAATTTACACCACTGTTTCAACAAAAGATTGTTTATGTGCACTGGTTATGACACGTGCATCGTGCCTCATTTAAAGTTACTAATGTAAGAAAATTTAACTTAAGAAGTGGTATATGTACCATGCAGCCTAAAACATGAAAGAATGTTAATGTTTTGGGAATACAACAGCAATATAAAAAAGAATATTGATGGATCTACTTAGTTTCTGTAAGGTCTATCAGCGACCCTGCCTCCGTCACTTTCAATAAAACAGGACTGTTAGACTTCCTCTTCTCATACGGATTAGATCTACATGCCTTTGTTTGTCTTTTCCCTGTTTCTTTATCCGACAAGTACTTCCGTCTGTTCTGAAGAGCTTCTCTCAGTCTTACCCACACCATGTCTATTGTGTCTGCTAACTGAGGAGCAAAGGCTAACAAAGACTTCACGAATACCTCCCTCTTATCGTTAGGAATCTCTCTTAGAACTGGTGGATTGTCCCATATTTGAGCAACCTGAGCAGCGTTACGAATTGCAAGAGATCCCAAATGCTGGGCTTCATTTGGTTTGCTGCGGATAGACTTTTTCTCCAGGAGAGCTTCTGCACTATATCTTTTGATCCTTTGTTTTTCTTCTGCTGTTATAATGTTAAGAGATCGAACAACTTGATTTTGTGAAACGTTTGTGATTGGTTCCCCTGTGGGAATTATAATGGTATCAGATCTAGGCACACGTTCTTCTACGGAACTGGATACCACGTGGTGCATAAGAGGACTTCTGACTGGCTTAGGGAAAGAATGGACATCTGAATGTGAAGAAAACGAAGAACCACTGCTTGCACTGGAACATCCGAGTTTGGGAACATTTTCCAACTTAACTTCGGATGCTCTAGGCATCTGAAATGTTTCTTTCTTTGGCTGATTGTGGTGCAAATTTTGTTGAGAGTAAGGGGGTTGAAAAGTAGAGTATGCTCTTGGATGGTTTACGTTAGCAGACACTTGATAACTATGCGCAGATGAGTTTGGTTGTGGTGAGCTTGCTGTGAAAGTCTTACTAACCACAGGCTTTGTAGTGTTGTTTCCTTGCCCAACACTTAAAGCATTTGATTGCAGAATCTGAGGATTATGCATTCCAGTTGGTTTTGACAACGATTTACATTCACGTATAGTTTTTCTTACTATGAACCGGTCCTTGAAAACAGAAAAAGCATCATGAATGTCTTCTTCACAAAACTCCAATAGCATTTCACCAGTTATTCCATTGTCTGCAATATATAAAAGGTGATAAACCTTAATTGTCATAAATTTGCAAGTTGTTAGGTTTTCAGAACTTGCATCTTTTATAAAATGAACATGTTTCAAACCAGTGTCTTCAACACACACACACACACACACACACCCTCACACACACACACAGAGAGAGAGAGAGAGAGAGAGAGAGAGAGAGAGAGAGAGAGCAAGATTTTAGACACATGTACCTTTGATACTTTGTACGCCCCTTGGACTCACTCCGCGGGCAGCTAGATGTGCACTTAATGTTTTCGGGTCCCAAAACTTCATCTGTTGTCCAGACATTGTAGAACATCAAGGTTCTCTCGCTCAGTGTTACAATCCAAAAGATCCTGAAATGCAAACATTAATTGTAAAACCCAACTACAATTTTATTCAAATATGGCTACAAACAAAGAACAAAGTAAAATAGTTGTCCCAAGCGGAATATAAAATTCTCTATGTAACTACCAGGTATTAAGCAGATCGAACAACAATACTTCTTTCTCGTGTGTACAAGTGCAATATGGGCTGATAGATGATTTGCCGCAATGGGATAAAAATTATAATAAATAGTGCTAGATGCTTTCATATAGTTTACTGTTAATAAAATATATTTAAATTAACATACAAGTTTTCGGAGAGTTATGTGAAATTTATCTCCAGAGCATAGTATTTCCCACAGAATTGAATTGCTTTATTTACGGGTATTTTTCAATGGGTTTTCGGTATATGATACATATTTGTTATTTACTTATTGTGCAATACGTAGATATGATATAAAAATATGGAACAGAATTCATGCTCAAAAATCAATCATATTAAAAAAATGCATTACTGCAAATGTAAGACACCACAGGGTCTGCCACATCCGTTTTAAATTTATCTTCTTGACTAAAGACAAAAGGACCAACTAATTATAAAACAACTTTACTTTTATGAAAAACGAGGCGACCTCAGCTTTTTCCATGTTCAATTTTTCTCCTTTAAAGTAAGTACACTCCTGATTATTCCGCTATCGCCTGCATAATGATATGGTGATTATATTTATTCGATACTCGAGTATGCTCCGGTTTTTTTTTTAATATTACGACCGACAGAGGCTACTGACAGATAAATTGATCCTTGGGGATTTGAACTCTCCCGTTTAGAGTCGGCATGTTGTAAATTCTACAGTCGTTTTAATGGTCATTTTTCAATAGCATATTTCATACCAATTGTTAGGCCAAAAAATATGATGTGACAACAGATTGTTTTATCTAGTTGAACACATAACTAGAGCTCTAAATGATAACCGTTCGCAGACATACAGGGGATGCTTTTACTTTTCCAAAGCATCTGATCCCATATCTTGACCGGGGTCCGAGATTTGTATTGATTGTGAATGTATATGTTTATGAGATCAGTCACAATTTATCTTCACTTCTTTTTATTTTTACTGAAATATTGTGTATATTGGCAATAAAAGCAAATCCATTGCCAATTTAACATATTTAAATCCTTTTCCCCCAAGAAGAACATGGTACATGTTTTCAGCTTTAAAGTGCGTGCGATTTATTTCTTGCAAAATATAAACTCTTCTCTGACGCATGCGCTTTAAAAAATACAATTAAAATGCCATTACTCATTATAAACATCTTGTCAGCTATGAACTCGGCCTGAGAATGCACAATAACTATACTGTATTTCGATCGTTGCTCTAAAGACACAGATACACAATGCTGCCAATATGTCTGACCTTAATTTACACATACACATGTACATACAGTACGCAGAGTGGAGATTGCACACACTAAATTTACAACATTTACAATGTATCCATCTGATGCCATGCAGTATACAAACCTTTAAAAACTAATGCTTTATTTGCAGCCGTAAAATCTCACTGCGATCTTCCTTTTATCTCATGAAATAACACTATAGCTCCTGTGTTTCACATCCACCACATAGTGATGGAAAATCATTAAAAGTAATGGGGGTCACGTGTCAGGCTATTACAAAGCGCATGGATCGTCTGCTTCTTTTCCATTAACAATATTGTATGCGTATACAAAGTAATTTTACAGTCACTGAGTAAACGGCTGTATTTGATTTTGACAAAAGTTGTGTTTATTCATTGGGTGGTTCAAAAGAAAAAAGTTAACGTGCTTACTTGTATATTTTACAAGCATAAATACTAAATATCGTAAATTTGTATACATATATACATCTAAAACCTATAAATAAGGATGGCGACTAAAAAAACCACACCTGGATTTATTTCAGAACATTGGTTAGGATAATAAACATAATTTAAAATATTACTGTACTTAGTTTTTAGGATAACCTGGCAAATTGTTATCCCGGGAAAACTTCTAGATAGTGGGATAACAATGTAGTTGATCAGAGGACTTAGGAAACTAGAGGTACTGTAAGCACTGAGCTTTCTAAATGATACTCCCGCCTTCCTTATGATTATAAGGGCAAAGTCCATGTTTTTAACTCTCTGGTAAACCCGAAATAAGTGTCAGATAAAAGTACAATAGGAGGTCATAACATTTGGCATTATGTCATACAGAATCTGTGAAAGTATCATTAAATTTTATTCAGTGGTATAGGAGGTGTTGCGGATAAGAGATGGGGACCTTTCAATGTTATAGAAATAATGGCAGTATCAAAGTTTTATCTTATTGGATAATACATTAAGGATTGGGCAACAGGCAAGGCCTATGTTCACCTGTAAGTTTTGCTCTGGTAAACCTGAAATATGCGTCCGATCGCTGAAAAGGTATGATTCGATAGGCGGTGGACAATGGCACTATGTAACAAATATTCTGTGAAAGTCTCATTAAATTTCATTCAGTAGTAATATAGAATAGTTGCGGATAGGAAATGGGTATCCCAAAGCGTAACGAACGGACATTCCGATCACTATACTCTCCCACTTTTCAAGCGGGGGTATAACAAGAGGTACTGTGAGCAATAAGCTCACTAAGTGATACTCCACCTCCCATTTGCTCTGGGAGACCCGAAATAGGTGTCATGCAGGTAATAAATTAAAATAGAAGTTGCTCAATGGCATTATGTATTAAGAATCTTTGAAAGTATAATTTTTTAGTGGTATAGGAGGAGTTCCGGATAAGAGATGGGTACCCTTCGATAGTATTGAAAGAATGACCATGTCCATGTTTTGCTCTGGGAAACTATACTAGTATGTGATCGATTCAAAAGTAAAACTAGTGCTAATTGTAACGGGGACCGTTACAGATGTTCCCCAAACGCTCCCCAACTCCCTTTTGGTGCCATTCCCTTGTAAGCTTCATTAAATAAGACAAACGTTATGCATTTGAGACTTTAACAACATTTACCCAGAAGTGTACCAAGTTGATTCAAATTTTAGCATTGCACGCGTCCGCGTGTGAATGCATGCGCATAATTACCATATCAAATTGTCTACAGAATCTATATATTTTAATATACTAAATATTAAAGTATTTAATCCAAAAGTATTAAAAAATACGCTCATTCAAGTGTATTTTTTATTTTACTCATTTCACGTGCACGCACGTGCATACATGAGCATGGTGACTATACCTTCTTGTAGAAGTCCATTACATCTATCTATATTCTAAATCCCACCCCGTTTGGTTGAAAATCAAGGGAGTTATAGCTGTTTAAAGTTTCAGCCAATCAGATTGCAGCACATGTACACGCACGTGTATGCATGTGCTTGGTGACATACCTTCTTGTAGCGGTCCATTATATCTATCTATGTTCCAAATCCCATCCTGTTTGGTTGAAAATCAAGGGAGTTATAGCTATTTAAAGTTTAAGCCAATCAGGTTGCAGCGCACGTGCATGCACGTGTTTTCATGATATTTGCTATATATCACGTTGTAGGATATCCTAATGTATGGCTATGTTCCAAATTTCAAGGGATTTCGTCAAAAAACAAGAAAGATATAGAGACTTTAGTTTCAGCCAATCAGAGCGAAGTGCACGTGCATGCGCGTGAGATCTTGCAATTTTGACCATGTCATATTGTCTATGCTACTAATATATCCTTATATTATGAGTTTCAAAGCATTTCATCAAAATTGTAAAAAGTTACGCCTATATCAATTAAATCGGTCATTTCACATGTTGCACGTGCACGCTCTTGCAAGCACGTGCGCGCAAAATGACCTTCGTTCCGCAAATCTACATAACATGCCTACTAACCCTAAAAAGGTTTTACCTAAGTCGGATGTGTAGTTTACAAGATCACTCCCGGACAAATAAGTACCCAGGAAGAAGAAAAATAATAATAATAACTAGTGCTAATTGTAACGGGGACCGTTACAGATGTTCCCCAAACGCTCCCCAACTCCCTTTTGGAGCCATATTCCCTGTAAGCTTCATTAAATAAGACAACCTCTATGCATCTGAGATTTTAACAACATTAACAAAGAAGTGTACAAAAATCATTTAAGCTTTAGCATTGCACGCGTGCACATGTGAATGCATATGCGTCATGACCATATCATCTTGTCTACACAATCTATATTTTTAATATACTGAATATTAAAGTATTTAATCCAAAATTATAATAAAAAAATTCGCTCATTCAAGTGTATGTTTGATTTTTCTCATTTCACGTGCACGCACGTGCATACATGAGCATGGTGACCATACCTACTTGTAGAAGTCCATTACATCTATCTATGTTCTAAATTCCACCCCGTTTGGGTGAAAACTAAGGGAGTTATAGCTGTTTAAAGTTTCAGCCAATCAGATTGCAGCACATGTACACGCACGTGTATGCATGTGCATGGTGACCATACCTACTTGTAGAAGTCCATTATATCTATCTATGTTCTAAATCCCATCCTGTTTGGTTGAAAACCAAGGGAGTTATAGCTGTTTAAAGTTTCAGCCAATCAGATTGCAGCGCACGTGCATGCACGTGTTTTCATCATAATTGCTTTATTTCATGTTGTAGGATATCCTGATGCATGGCTATGTTCAAAATTTCAAAGGATTTCTCCAAGAAACAAGAAAGATATTGAGACTTTAGTTGCAGCCAATCAGAGCGAAGTGCACGTGCATGCGCGTGAGATCTTGCTATTTTCACCATGTCGTCATGTCTATACTACTAATATATCCTCACATTATGAGTTTCAAAGCATTTCATTTAAAAATAGAACAGTTGTGGCTATATCTATTATATTGGTCATTTCACGTGTTGCACGTGCACGCTCTTGCAAGCACGTGCGCGCAAAATGACCTTGATTCCGCAAATCTACATAACATGTCTACTAACCCTAAAAAGGTTTTACCTACATCGGACGAACAGTTTACAAGATCATTCCCGGACAAAAAAGTTCCAGGAAGAAGAAGAAGAAAAACTAGTTATAATTGTAACGGGAACCGTTACAGATGTTCCCCAAACGCTCCCCAACTCCCTGTTTGTGCAAATTTCCTTTAAAACTTTTTTAAATATGCTTAGTATCGCAGGATTTCATAAAAGAATTTTAAAAGCTACTATTATATCAACTTTTTGTCATTTAACGCATTGCACGCAAACGAACGTGCATGCACATGCAAGGTGATCATGGCATGTTGTCTAAACCATTACCATATCTTTATATTCCAGAAATCAATAAAAAATCATAAAAATATAAATTTTACCGTTTTTCAAACATATTGTTTATTTTACGCATTGCATGTGCGCAAGTGCATGCAAGCACATCCTTGCATTTAATTTTGATAGCGGTATCATGTAGAAATCCATAATACCTAATCATATTCTAAACTTCATCCTGTTTTGGTGAGAAACAAGAAAGATATAGGCATGTAAAGTTTCAGCCAATCAGATTGCAGCACATGTGGATTTATGTGCTTTCATAATAATTCTTAAATATCATGCTATAGATCTTCATATTGTGTGACTAAGTTCAAAATTTCAAAGGATTTTGACGTAAAACAAGACAGATATTGAGACTTTAGTTTCAGCCAATCAGAGCCAAGTACATGTGCATGCGCGTAAGATCTTGCAATTTTGACCATGTCATCTTGTCTATGCTACTAATATATTCATGCATTGTGAGTTGCAAAAAAAATTCCATAGAAATAGAAAAGTTACGGCTTTGTCCAGTAAATTGGTAATTTCACATGTTGCACGTGCGCGCTCTTGCCAGCACACGCGCATGTACGTGCTTTCATGAAAATTATTATACATCATGCTGTAGATCTTTATAATGTATGACTAAGTTCAAAATTTCAAAGGATTATGACGTAAAACAAGAAAGATATTGAGACTTTAGTTTCAGCCAATCAGAGCCAAGTGCACATGCATGCGCGTGAGTTCTTGCAATTTCGACCATGTCATCTTGTCTATACTACTAATATATTCATGCATTGTGAGTTTCAAAAAATTCCATCAAGAAATAGAAAAGTTATGGCTTCGTCCATTATATTGGTAATTTCACATGTTGCATGTGCGCGCTCTTGCCAGCACACGCGCAAGTACGTGCTTTCATGAAAATTATTATATATCATGCTGTAGATCTTCATAATGTATGACTAAGTTCAAAATTTCAAAGGATTATGACGTAAAACAAGAAAGATATTGAGACTTTAGTTTCAGCCAATCAGAGCGAAGCGCACGTGCATGCGCGTGAGATCTTGCTATTTTGACATGTCATCATGTATATACTACTAATATATACTTATATTATGATAATCAAAGCATATATTCAAAAAATAGAAAAGTTACAGCTATATCTATTGATTTGGTCATTTCACGCGTTGCACGTGCGCGCTCTTGCAAGCACGTGCGCGCAAAATGACCTTCGTTCCGCAAATCTACATAACATGCCTACTGACCCTAAAAAGGTTTCACCTTAGTCGGACGTGTAGTTTACAAGATCATTCGCGGAAAAGATTTTCCCAGGAAGAAGAAAAATAATAATAATAATAATAAGAAACAGAGTAAAAACAATATGTTCCCCAACTTCGTTTGGGGAACATAACTAGTGCTAATTGTAACGGGGACCGTTACAGATGTTCCCCAAACGCTCCCCAACTCCCTTTTGGTGCCATATTCCCTGGAGGCTTCATTAAATAGGACAAACTCTATGCATTTAAGACTTTAACAACGTTTACCCAGATGTGTACCAAGTTCATTCAAATTTAAGCATTGCACGCTTGCGCATGTGAATGCATGTGCGTAATGACCATATCATCTTGTCTACACAATCTATATATTTTGATATACTAAATATTAAAGTATTTAATCCAAAAGTATAAAAAAATACGCTCATTTAAGTGTATTTGCTATTTTACTCTTTTCACGTGCACGCACGTGCATACATGAGCATGGTGACTATACCATCTTGTAGAAGTCCATTACATCTATCTATGTTCTAAATCCCACCCCGTTTGATTGTAAACCAAGGGAGTTATAGCTGTTTAAATTTTAAGCCAATCAGATTGCAGCGCATGTACACGCACGTGCATGCATGTGCATGGTGACCATACCTTCTTGTAGAAGTCCATTATATCTATCTATGATCCAAATCCCACTCTGTTTGGTTGTAAACCACGTGAGTTATAGCTATTTAAAGTTTCAGCCAATCAGATTGCAGCGCACATGCATGCACGTGTTTTTATGATAATTGCTATATATTATGTTGTAGGATATCCTAATGCATGGCTATGTTCAAAATTTCAAAAGATTTTGTCAAAAAACAAGAAAGATATTGAGACTTTAGTTTTAGCCAATCAGAGCGAAGCGCACGTGCATGCACGTGAGATCTTGCTATTTTGACCATGTCATCTTGTCTATATTACTAATGTATCCTTACATTATGAGTTTCCAAAAAAATCATCAAAAAATAGAAAAGTTACGGCAATATCCATTATATTGGTCATTTCACGTGTTGCACGTGCACGCTCTTGCAAGCACGTGCGCGCAAAATGACCTTGATTCCGCAAATCTACATAACATGTCTACTGACCCTAAAAAGGTTTTACCTACATCGGACGTACAGTTTACAAGATCATTCCCGGACAAAAAAGTACCCAGGAAGAAGAAGAAGAAAAATAATAATAATAATAATAATAATAATAAGAAACAGAGTAAAAACAATATGTTCCCCAACTTCGTTTGGGGAACATAATAATAATAATAATAAGAAACAGAGTAAAAACAATATGTTCCCCAACTTCGTTTGGGGAACATAATAAGAAACAGAGTAAAAACAATATGTTCCCCAACTTCGTTTGGGGAACATAATTATAGGTGAACAATGGCACTATTTAACACACGTTCTGTGCAAGTCTCATTAAATTTCATTCAGTGGTACAAGAGGAGTTAAGGATAAGAAATTGGTACCTAAAGGCGTAACAGACGGACGTACAGACAAACAGACGGACATCCCGATCCCTCCATACCCTCCCAATTTTCAAGGGGGTGGAGGTAATAAATATATTGAATCATACGCGCAAAAATTCTTTCACCGTTATCCGTCGTTATTTGCAGACCATGCCAAGAATTCTCGTCCGGTTTTCAGCAGCGATGGAGTCAATAAAAGTGTAATTGATGTAAATCACCCATATTCACCAAGGATTTCATTCCCCAACGCTTGGATGACAATTTACGGCAGCAGATTTCTGCTGCCGTAAATTGTCTTCCAACATTTGGGGAATGTGGGTGATTTACCCACTGAAGTTTCAACGTTTAACGTTAATTCGACTTTTATTGAGTTCGCTCTCCGGATAGAATGCGTAGGTTTTCTTGGCATGCTATTTTTGTATTCATATGAAGTAGAATTACTAGTCCTGAAAAGAGGAAAACACTTGGTGTGGCCTTCAACTCGACATTTAGATATATCGACGACGTATTTTCAATTTACAATTGTTATTTCCATTTTTATTTCGATAGAGAGTCTGGCACATCTCTTTCCTATGGTGGCATATTTATGCCATCTACATAACTTTTTGTCAACATAAGATATCATGTCAAGTCAAGATAACTTTCGCGTCAAGTCATGATAACTTTCTGGTTTGTCGTCAGATACCAACTTTTATCTTGTACAGTCAAGATAAGCTATCATATTTTTGCAATGGCTATCTCGACAAAACGAGATAATTTATCTTCTATCGCGATTAAAAGTTATCTCGTCATGTCAAGATAGTTATTGCAACAAAACGTGATAGCTTATCTTGACTTGACAAGATAAAAGTCGGTTTTTGACGACAAACCAGAAAGTTATCATGACTTGACGAGATAGTTATCTTGACTTGACATGATATGCTATGTTGACAAAAAATTATGTGGATGGCATAAATATGCCACCACACTTTCCTATATTTGGATATGTTACTTGAAAAAGACGTAATGGTAATCGAACAACAAAGCTTTATGATAACCGTGATGACAAACCCCCCTTACTCATCTAGCAATATACCTTCATCAGCGGCATACGGGGTTAAATATACCTCTCTGTTGATTCGATACGCAAGAGCATGCTCTACGTATGTACAATAATAATTATTTCTAGATTGATTGATTGTATATTATTTAACGTCCCTTTCGAGAATCGCCACCACTGGAGAGCTGCAAATTTTGTCCTATACTCGGCACTTCGGGCCATTGAGCAGGGAGGGATCTTTTTCGTGCCAGCACCTACTGCGACACGGGACCTCGGTTTATACGGTCTCATCCGAAGGACCCATATCCACGTCAATCAATACACAGAATATCAAACTGTCTCGTTTAAAGTAATTATTTTGTAAGTTCTATGGTCGGTACAATGACCTTTTCAGCAAATACATCTTATCATTTAGTCAATAGCTGACTGTCGTTTTTCATATTCATTGTTAGCCCATTATTTACACACTGCATTCAGTTCACTGTCGACAGATTTTTTGCGTTTTTTTCCCTACAAGGAGCACACGGCGGATGTGACTTGTCAACAGGGGATGCTCACTTCACCATGGCACCTGATCTAACCTCTGATTTTTTGTAGGCCCCAACGTGCGTGTTTAATGGACTTTTGAGCTCGAATACGAATACTGTTTGTAATGATCTTCCTAATATTATACTTGATCCAGACTGCAGTAAATTACACGACAAAATATGCTCGTTCTCTTGCGTGATTTCAATTGGTATCTCTATATAATTTCTTTTTAACAAATGTCGTTTTAAACCAACTAAATTTAATTCTACAGTCATTGATAAAGTTTTATAGATGAGAACTATGGGCATATATAACAAATAATTAGCAATACTGTAGTAAATAGTTTATGCTTTGTAGTAAACGAGGCCTATGGATTTTTATAATATTTTGTAATTTTTTGATCGGGTTCAAGGTCCTATGAGAACCCGGAAATAATTTTTTAAAATGGCGACCATGGAAGAAGGATTGCACCTAGAAAAAGGTTTCTTTGCCCAATTTAGACGCTATTTAAGAGACAATGTTTTTAATATTATCCAGAAATTATTTCTTTAAATATCTGATGATTGATTGCTAGTTTTAAACGAAGACAGATAATGCTTTAGCGCCTGGAAAAACTGCTTGATAGAAAAATTTGTCTTGGAACAAGCCCACATCACAAATTCATATAAGCATAATTAGTATTTGTTGTAAGTTTATGAATAGCTTAATAAAGATATATGTGAATTTTAATTAAAGTTTCAAAGTTAAATTGAGAGATTGTGCCAAATCTGTTTATGTGTTTAACTGTTATCATGTGGCAGACATCTAATATTTTTTCTTCTTCCAGATATCAACAGAGCTATTGATCTTCTGGATGCACTTCAAAAAAGTGAGAAAACAACCTATTTCACCAACTACAGTATTATCTTTAGAACAATAGACAGGCACAGGCTTATATCTAATTCCCTTTGCAAACTTTCATGTTTTATCAGGTTGGGAACAGTAGCCCAAAAGGGATATAATATCCCAAATCATCAAGTGAGATATAAATTTACAGTGCAAATTTTTTTTATTTTGGCTATAGATGTCATAAATCCGCATTAAAATGTGAAATGAATAACTTTTGTCAAGCAAATTTTCTGCAACCCTACAGGTTGTTAGATTGATCCCCAAGAAGTTTACAAACTTCTGAGGGATCAATATGTTATAAATATTGGTCATACAGAAAAACTTGCTAATCAAAAGTTATTCCATTATAAGTATCTTGATGCGGATTCAGGATATTTATAGCCAAGATCAAAATTTCTTTTTTTGGATTGTAAATTTATACCTCATATGACATAAATATCCCAAATGGGCTATTATATCCCATTGGGGGGATTGGTCCCAACCTGTTTATTTGCAAAACATGTAAATGTCTTTCATGATAGATCTGAATTTCTACAGCTCAAACATTAATGCACACATCAGTCACCTAGTAGATTTATATTTGTTCTTGTTGTTAGTTTTGTTACCTATTATATATAATAATTGTATTGTATATGACAGGCAATAATTAAAACATAAATATCTTGACTGTAACTCTCATATTTGTTGCTGCTGTTTTAAATTTTAGATAAAGTAACAATTCTTTCACAGGTGGACAGATTCCATCTCAGAAGTTGGCAGCTTTGCAAAGAGTTCTTCAAAGTGATTTCCTAAATTCTGTGAGGGAGGTTTATGAACACGTTTACCAGACTGTGGACATTACAGGAAATGAAGAAGTCCGAGCTAATGCAACAGCCAAGGTAAGGGGTTGGGATATAGGAAATGAAGAAGTCCGAGCTAACACAACAGCAAAGGTAAGGGAATGCTGAGATCAGACATAATGGAATTTCCATGAATTCAATAGAAGGAAGCTGATGAAAAAATGTATTCTACAGCTATTGGTCATATTGATAATTCTTAAAGTTTTCAATAGGTATTTATCAGTTAAAATAAATGATACATAGATTTAATACAAAGAACTTTAAATAACAATATTTGAAATCAAACTTTGATATTTGTAATAACCAATATATTGCTTCAAAGCACTGAATATTTTCAAACAATGACGTCATATATTTGAAATGACGTCATGAAAATGTCGTAAATCTAAATTTTCCATGATTTCTACAGAAAAATGTATTTATTATGTCAATATTTTGAGTAAAAGTCACCGAGCGCAGGTCTGATCAGGCTCAATATTTTGATATAATGTGTAAAATAATAATATCAATGAAATATGTAAATATTTCCTGAGCAAACTTGCGCTCTATAAATTTAAAGTTAAAATTGTTGAAATTTTGTCGATTTTGTCCTCTTTCTAGAAAATGAGATAAAATCGGACTAGTTTGTGACGTCATAAAAACAAAAATTGTCAATAAACTACTTTGAAACTATCATATGTTCTGTAAGTTTATATTTCTCATACAATTTATAAAATTCATCACATTTTCAGAAATTTTCAAAATTTGACTTTAGTGGGGGCAAGGATATGCAATATACTGCATATAGTTTTTTAGCAATTTGGTTCCCAATAATATTAAGCATGCTGAATGATCATAGCAAAGAATGCTATCAATGGAACCTTTTTTTGCAAGCACCTATTAATATATGGATTTTATCAACACTACTGTTACTACTACCAGGGTAATTTATCATCTAACATGCATATCATAAACATGAGTTCCAAATCACTTTTTCTGGACAAAGATATGACAGATAATGTTTAAGATGCAGAAGTTCAACTGGATTTATGTAACCATATATACCAAAGAAGCTGATAGATATAATAATCTCCTTTAGCAGTTGTAAAATTGTTAATCTCCATTAACTGTAGATATGAGCTGCAACTGATCCCATCACAGGGATGTTAATGATGTTTTACCCTTGAAGCCAAGCAAACATTTCATTCATTTATTTTTTAATCACAGGCCACAGTTGCAGCTTTTGCAGCCAGTGAGGGACATGCCCATCCTAGGGTGGTAGAACTTCCCAAAACTGAGGAGGGACTTGGTTTCAATGTAATGGGTGGAAAGGAACAGAATTCTCCGATCTATATTTCTAGAATTATCCAGGGTGGAGTGGCAGATAGACATGGTGGCTTGAAGCGTGGTGATCAATTACTTTCTGTAAATGGGGTGGTAAGTATTCTATATTCTTAAAGAAAAGGTTTAACTGTAAATCTCCAAGTATAATGCTAGTCTTAATCAGGCAAAGTTTGAGTTAGATAAATGAATGATTGACAAAATAATTTTTGCATGAGGATTCATATCTGTGTAGTTCTTGAAATAAACATGGTAAATGGAGTCTGGACTTTTTTTTGAATATTTTTGGTTTGTAGAGTGTGGAAGGAGAACATCATGAAAAAGCTGTGGAACTTCTTAAACAGGCCAAAGGTAATTTTACAATGTACATCAATGTACATCAATATATGCTTTTTTTTTCAAATTATACTTACATATATATGTCTATGAAAATCTCAACCATCTTTGTTATTTTTTTTTAATTTTACTATTTTTGTTTGTTTGTGTTATACATGTAAATAAGTCAAAACTAAACCATTTGCATAAGGAACTACACTAACTAACTTCTGATTACCACTGATTCGGCACTGAACAAGATTCTTTCATAAAAGAGATTTTCAATGCCAGCATATAGTAATAATGTGTTTTGAAATATTTTAAAGCGTGATGATGAGATAAATACAGTCACTTTGATGAGGAAACAATGGAATTTACTGTCATTACTTTCATTTGCAACTGATAAATACAGTCACTTTGATGAGGAAACAATGGAATTTACTGTCATTACTTTCATTTGCAACTATCTTGGAGAAATTCCCAATAAAATTACCTGGGGCATGGTTTTCAGCCATGAACATTATAGAGACTATCTCATTTATTTTATACTTACTATCTACAGGTACAGTGAGACTAGTGGTACGATACAATCCCAGGGTTTTAGAGGAAATGGAGGCAAGGTTTGACAAACAAAGGGTGTCATCCAGAAGGAGGCAATCACCATAGTAACCATCACAACAACATCAATTCTTTTTTAAAATACATAAAACGTTGACAATTATCTGGGATTTAGTTACAGAAGTATACATATTGTACCTAGATAGGAACAAAGTCACCAAGGATGTAATGGCTTGACAATTGACATTGAATTTTGTGATGTTCCGTTAGGAATCAGTAAAAGGTTAGTGATATAGATTGAGGCATGATTATTTATGCTGTTGTGTGATAGAGAATTTTAAAAGTGTATGTATTTGTAAATCAGGATTTCATTTGTAAATCAAGATTCTCATTCATTTACTTGCATTTTATAATTTTTTGCAATATAAAAGGCACATGTACATTTTTTAAATGGTAGACAGTTTACAAATATCAAATGTATTGTACATATATACAAGTATATTGAAAAAATATGGGTTGTGTTAGAGTAGAAGAAATAAAAAGTTTTAATTTAACTTGTTGCTAGTTTTTAACTTTGATTTTTCTTTGGAAATGAAATGTGAGTTATTTTTGTTGGGGAATGGCAAGTGATGTGTTGCAGTTGATTCAGAATGCAAGTTTATACCTTGGAAAAATCGAACTCAACCATGAAACGGTACATGTACATGTATGTGCTAATCTCGGGCAAAGGGCAAAATTAAAAAATGAGTGGATTTAAAAATTCATTACCACATTTGAAATATTGTATTGAATAAATAAAACTTGATTATGTCTCATTTTCCAAAAACACCACAATGTACATTTTTTCAATGTTATTTTAGAAACAAATTTTTAGCCAATCAAAATCTCTGTGCAGGATACTGTTTCATGGTTGAGTTCGACTTTTCCATTCAACAAGCAGAAATGATGCTGTTTTACAGTTTAGGGAGATAAAGGAAAACAAAGACGTATGCCATATGTGGTTGTGTAGATACATTATCCTAGAACTCGGTGGTAATAACTAATAAACAGTTTGCCATTGCATAAATTCCTCTGAAAGCGTAAATAACTGCTTTCTGAGGCAGGGATACTGAGTGTAACTAGGAGTTAGATACCTTGTATTATGATAAAAGAAAGTTACAATGTTGTAAATTAGTTACCGTAAAAGTTTTTAGATTACAGATACTGTGTTTCAAATATCTGAAAGTTTTCTCGATTTAATGAACGATGAAAGTTTTCTGAATTTATTAAACTTCAGACACCATTTGTATTTAAAGTATGTATACATGATTAATAAAGGCCTAGGCATTGGTTTAGAGATCATGTGATTTTGTAGACTGCCGGTATATTCTGAATGCATGAGAAATCATTTATTGAAATAGTACAATTCTCAGGTAAGCTTGGACTTTAAGTAAGGTGTGGCATTCTTGACGTAACATAATTAGCGTCTGAAATTTACACAGCTTTCATTCACTGTTGAAATATACATGGGATAGAAATTTGGGCAAATGTTAACTAATGCATCGAATAAATGATGACACTGAAATACTGAAAGTCGAGTTCTGTGTTGTTTTCAGTAAATTTATTCGTGCAAGTAAAATAATCATACAGAAAAACCTTGTCGTTTGAGGAGACGTTCTTTTATGCCGTCTTTTTGATACCAGAGTACTTTTCATGCACAAGCCAACACACTAGCTGACAACAACTCATAATTCGACTTTTAAATTTATTTTTTCAAGATTTTTTTTTGTATTTTCTCTACATAAAATACCTTGATCAAGGTATGTGTAATACATTGATCAAGCTATATCTTTATCAATATATAATATACCTTTATCAGGGTATTGTGCTGGAACACTTTTTTTCCAAACTTAACTTTTAACTATTGAAATTTTTCATTGAATGGTCCGGTTGCCCCCCCCCCTCACTTTTTGTAAGAAGGATAATGTAGTATTTTACCCACACGAAATAGGATTTTTTTGAGTTTGGGCAATTTCCTTTTTTTTCTTCCTTATCAATTTCTTTTACGTGGGTTGAAATGTTTTCTCTGCATTTCGATGAAGGTCACCAAACTAAAATGATTTTGAGTTTAGAATGTTAATGTACCAGTTTGAATATATAAATTTCAAAAACTCAAACTATTGGTATATTGAAAGTTAATGAATATTTTAGTTCAAAAATTTTAATTTTAAATTTCCGAACAGGTTTTAAGATTTTAATAAGATTTTTACCTAAAATGTTCAAAATTCAAATTTCGTAAAACGATTTTTCTATTTTAAACTTTTGATTTTTAAGCTATCGTTTGCTAAAAAAAAAAGTATACACTTAAAACAATCTAAAATTAAGAACCATTTTACATCTTTTACTATTTTAAAATTAACTTCAAACTTCTAAATTTCAAAACTTTTTAGATATTTGGAATTTCTATTCAACCATTTAAATTTCAAAAACCAAACCACTTTGAGATTTTAGAAGTTTAATTCAAATATCCAAAATATCGATTCCAAACCTGCATGGCTTGATCTTTAAAACTATTTCAAAACCTCGATTTTTGGATAAGCAAAAGAGCTTTTAGATACTTAGAATACTGAACTTATATTCAAAATTCAAATCGGATTTGGAAAGTTGATATTTTGGGTATTTAAAGTAAATTTCTAAAACTGAAAGTGTTTAGATTATTTGAAATCAGAACATTTGAAATTCGGTCCGTGTAACACTTAAAATAAAAACAATTCAAATTTTCTAAAATGATGCAGAGTTTATATTAGTTCATTTTTATAAATTTCAAAATTTCAGTAGTTTTTTTTTAAACAACCGTATAATGAATTACTACGTAAAAATATAAAAATAGAACAAACGTCATTTCTAAATATAGGCCTAAATTGTTTTTCAGAAGTGCGTTTTAAAATGAAACTAAGGATTTTTGTTGTCCAATTTCTTATTGTTTACAATATATATGTTGTCATTTTAGCAATTCATACAGTTATTGACCATTCCTAATCGTATATTTGCATTTTGGAATGCATGATGCAATCAGCAATCGGCATTCTCAGATATTTTTAGCATTGGATCACTACGCATGAAAATTCAACAGAAATGATTAATCTCAAAATTAAAATATAAATCCAAACTGGATTTATTTTTCTAAAATGCTAAATTGAGTGTTATATATCTTCAGCAAAGAAAGAAAAAGTATAAAGAAAGTAATTCTCACTTATCGAGTTCTATTTTTTATTCGGAAGTATTTTTAGTTAGGCGGGAATTTTCCGGAACTTCCGAGAATGATTTAACCGAGAAAACATATGACAAGATGAGTTTACAACCAGTTCAATTTCTAAAGTTCACAACAACGGAATGAAAACATGAATCGATCTATGAAGGATTCTAAGAGTGTCTCTAAAAATTCAAACGAATCAGAAAGCAGTAAGTGCTCTGTTATAAAGAAAACGGATCAACAAGATTGGAAAGAAACAACGTCCGCATTTGCTAGGTCTATGTGTAGGTGGCCATTTCATAATCCATTTGAGTGTGTCGAATTTATACCAGAGGAATATAGTAAAAGACTAAAAGACTTGCTACCCGAAGAAGACGAAAATAAGACAGGGACATGAATACGAGACTTTAAGGATTATTTGTGTTTGTCATGAATCCATATGGAAAAACTAAGAATTGGTTCTGTAGAACAGACCGCTGTGATAGTACATCAGTCGGTGGACGAACTGTGCCAAGTCTCTTAAGGCTTGATAGTACGGGTAACACACTTTGTAAGAGAGATAATCATACATCTCTTAACAACAGCATGGCTTCTTGTTTTGCAAAAACTGTTGGTGGCATTATGCAAAAAAACAATTTTTCAAAGGATAATTTTGTTGGTAGTATGTCAGACTTTCCAATATTACAGAATACTTGTGATTTTGCTTGTGATAAAAATATGGCAGCTAAAAACAGTGACTCTAGAAACATGCCTGTAGCTTCCTGTTTTGGAAATTTTCAGGGCTTGGCTGGGTGCCTTGGCTTGAATGCATGTAGTTCTCTTTCTCAACACCAAACATTGCATCATGGTCATTTTCAACTACCTTATGTACAGTTTCACCCTGCAGTTGTCAATGCCTTTCCACACCAAACTGATTCGGCCAAAAAGCAGTTTGTGAAATGTCAAAGCCAAAGGATGGGGAAGAAGAGCAATCGTTATTTCCGATATGGATGGAAAGCTCCGCCTAGGAAGTCATCCCCTGAGGGTGAAAAGTCAGGTGCGCGGCCTACAAAGTCCGAGGATGCTTCGGTACGCAAAAAGCAAAAATGTGATAACTCAGAGAGGACTCAACAAGATAAAGAAAAATATTCTGAAAAGAAGAAAGAGGAGAAAGCTAAATATAATGATGACAGTAAAGATTGTTTATCTAGTCATATGTGTAATTTAAGTCTTGGTGAAAGTGTCGCAATTGAAAATGCATTAAATGATGGTACACCTCTCAGTTCAGATGACACGGAAGTAGACAAATCAAAACCAGACTGGTTCAGCATTGGAAGGCGGGATTCCGAGAATAAATTATCTCCATCAAACACGGTGACAGTACTAGACAACTGGGATGATGAAATATGTGAAGAAATTCAATCAGAAAGCTCAAAACTTCAAGAAGAAATTTTAGATCTTTTAGCAACTGATGATGTGAAAATCAGTGCTAGCAATACATGTTCCAAGAATATTGGAGATGAGTTATTGCAAAGCATGGACATTGAATGTGAAAATACCTGTGCCACCAATGGTGAATTAAACTGCAATGACAGCAAACAAATGGTCAAAGATAATGAAGATTCTGCTCATCAGTGCCAAAATAATGAACCACATGCTGTGTTATTTCAGCGTAGCATGAATAAAAAATGTCGCCCTTCCAACAAAAAACGCAGTCGAAGGAAAAGCAGCAAACATTCAAAGTCTTTCAGATGTGACCAGGGTCAAAAAAGAAAATTGGAGGATGGAAACCCTTCTAATTTTGGTGCTAGTGCCATAGCCTTTATCATGGGAAATTGTGATCCACATTCCATTTTAGACAGTGAGAGTGATTTTTCATTTGACAGTGATGAAGATTCCTGCGAGTCTATGGAGGACGATATCGACTTTCAATTTGCTGACCCTTTCAGTTTCTGTGAGAAAGCCATTTTTCCTACCAGTTCTAGTCCAGGCCAAGAGGTCAGCCAAGCTGTCAGTGCAGCAAACCGTGCCTGGCATATTGGGTCCCAAGAATCCAGTCCAAAAGATGCTCCGCTGGAAAATAAGAAGGTGTGTATCTGGGAAATCTGATAAGTTTGATTATCTCTTCCATATTTTGTATGATTTTTCTGGTATTTACTTTTAAATATTGGTACAATACATTATTAAACAAAATGTGAGTAAATTCAAAGATGAATATTTCTATTTTTCAGGTTCATTTTGCAAGAGCAGAGAATCTCGCAGAAATGCATGAAGCAGACGAATGGAACCGCAAAGGACACTGGGAGGAATATGCAAGGGATAGAGAACGATTTAAGCGAAGAATAGAAGAAGTTCAAAGAGTGTTAGATCCTGTTCTGAATCAGAGTCATCGTGAGCATGTGTATAAAAGGCTTCATACTGCTTAATGGGGTTTTGAGAATGAAACAAAGTGCTTGGTTGTGCATCATATATTTAAAGCAATGCAATTTCTGGCTTTTCATTCCAAAATTTAGTTCAACATTTTCAAGAATTCATAGGAACAGGGGATTATTATAATCTGCATTTTTTTTTAATCAGCAATTTAAATGATTGAAGAAAATTGTGATTTAGATTACAATGAAAAATGTTAATTGATTTTAATCAAGCTTCTTCAAATTCTTTGTTGCTGTCCTTGATTTACATTTTATGCACATTTTATTACTGTGTTTAGTTTTATTGTGAATATTAGCATTAAAATATTTATTGCTAATTGTTTTGATTTTTATCTTTTTATAATTTAGAATTTTCTTTTTATCTCGTCTGTGCCAAAGTTTCTGAATTAGGATTTCTTCTGTGGTTGTCCATAAGGAAATCATTCTTGTTGTTAGGCAATGATTTCTCCACATTTTTATCTCATAGAGACAAAGGTCTAATGTAAACCAATCTTGCTAGAAAAAATATTCGGGTCAAGGGATTTAAGCTTGTTCAAATGAAGGGCCACACCTACTTTCAAGGAAAGAAAATGAATAACTGGTGAAATTTTTATGGTATCTTTAAAACCAGAAGTCTCTGTAGAGACTGTAGCTCTACTAGTTTGAACTTGTAATAAAGGAAGAGAAAAGTAGCAGTTGGGACTTAAAACTTTACAAAAGCAATAAATAGAATAATGATCCTTGATTAAGTCAATTTTTGTAGCAAGATTGCTATAAGACCACAAACTGTAGGAGTAGCTTTTAATAAAATTTTACAGAATTGTCACGAAGTTACCATGGCAACATCAAAATCAAAAACAAAACGGATAATTATGTATCTCAGTGTAGTCTACTTGCATGCCAAGTTATATTACAATCAGACTAAAACTGTTGGAGGAGTAACAATTTGAAAGTATTTCATGGAAATTTCTATCTATAATATCCAAAGCAACTTTGTTCATCGAAATCAAAAACCATTGTACAGAATTATGTATCATAGTGTTGTCTACTTGTGTGCCAAGTTATATGGAAATCAGACCAAGTAGCATTTTAAAAGTATTTCACAGAAAGTTCTATTTCTAGTAACCACGGCAACACCGTTCATCAAAATCAAAAATCGTTATACAGAATTATTTATCTTGTGTAGTCTACTTGTGCGTCAAGTTATATTGAAATCAGACCAAAACTGTAGGTGAAGTAGCGTTTTAAAATTATTCCACAGAAATTTCTATTTTTAGTAACCACGGCAACATCGTACATCGAAATCAAAAAGCGATACACAGAACTATGTATCATATTGAAATCAGGCCAAAACGGTAGGAACAGCATTTTGAACAAGATGTGTTTGTGAAACACTATGTGCCCAGTGGCACAAAGTTTAAAAAAAACTCTACTTTTAGCATAAAGGTCAATGTCAAGGTCACAAGGTCATTGACCTTGGTATCATTTGAAAGAACTTGATTATTGGAGTATGCATACCAAATATGAAGTCCCTATACCTCATGGTTTAAAAGTTGTAGTTAACGTTCAAAAAAGCTATTTTAAGCATATAGGTCACAGTCAAGGTCACAAGGTCAATGACCTTGGTTTCATTCAAAAGAGCTTAATAAGTGAAGTAAGCTTACCAAATATGAAATCTCGATCTTTCATGGTTCAAAAGTTATGGCGAAGGTTCAAGTTTGAAGACAAAAAAACCTATTTTTAGCATATAGGTCACATTCAAGGTCACAAGATCATTGACATTGGTATCATTAGAAAGAGTTTTATTTGTGGAATATACTATTAGTTACACAGTCAGTTAGTGACCTAATACGGATTCATACAGGGTGTGAAATGGAAATCTGTATTGGGCGAGGCGAAGCCGAGTCCCAATACGGATTTTCATTTCACACCCTGTATAAATCCGTATTAGGTCACTAACTGACTGTGTAACGAATTTATCCCGCTGAAGACCTTTTTAAATATAAAAAAAATATTTGTGCATATTATGAAAATATTAGTTTTAATCCAATAACAATCAACATAAAATATCGTTACGGTAACAAGAAATTTAACTATAAACTACCTACGTTAACCGTTTCTTAGACACCATTTTTATTTACAATAACAACGCTTCGAACGGAATCGCGTGCCCGATTTTCATATTACGCCTCGACGGAGACGTAATATGGAAACGGAGACGTAATACGGAAAATTTCAGGGCGTCACGTGATTAGCTTTTATCCAATCAGTAATCGACAAATATGTCTGAAGCGGGATAAATACTAAATATTAAGTCTCTATCTCTCATGGTTCAAAAGTTACGGCGAAGGTTAAAGTTTGCAGAAAAAAAAACTATTTTTAGCATATAGATCAAAGTCAAGGTCACAAGGTCATTGACCTTGGTGTCTTTTGAAAGAACTTCATTAGTGGAGTGGGCATACCAAATATGAAGTCCCTGTCTCTCATGGTTCGAAAGTTATGGCGAAGGTTAAAGTTTGCAGACAAACAGACAGACAGGACAAAAACAATATACGCCTCAGATCTATCGATCCGGGTGCATAAAAATTGTTTACAGACAGACGGACTGACGCCGGAGGCATTACTATCGCATAAGCTCTTCTGGTCTCTGACCAGTACACCGTGTCAAACCGTTACTTTGAGGGAGTCGCGAAAAAGAACGAGGGAGTCGCTTTTGACGCCAGGGGGAGTCGATTTTCTTCGCTTGAAAAACTGCCGAAATGTAGGTCACGGTGTTTTGTTGCATTTAGAAATAGTTTTTGGACAAATACTATATCGCACGGAACAATACGATAACTGAGGTACATGTACATCAGAAGTTTACCAGTCTTAACCATCTAGTATGCTCAAACACTTCGGATCTTTTTTCAGTATTCACAAATTTTACTTTGACGATGACGAAAAATATGCATTAATGAATATTTATGCAGTATAACCAGGTTGTAGGTGATCTAAATGTTTTATTATTTGATAATCTTTATTGTTTGACAATTTGAATTTGGAAAATGATCGTTTAAGGAATGTACGGAGGCGATTTCTAATTTCAGTGCAAAGGTAACGGAGGGGGGAGTCGATTTCTGTTCATGATTAAAAAAGGGGGAATCGCAAAGTAATCTAAATAATGAATTTTGGCAATCAATGTTGTCGAAATGAGAATTTTGAATGTTGAAAATGTCATATTTTATTGTCAATATCAATCTTTGAACGTAATTATTCTGAATTTTTAGAAATGACAAAAAAGAAATCATCGTTATGACTCCATCAACCTAAAAAAAAGGGAAAATACAAAATACCAGTAGTCCGTACAAATGGAAATTGACAGCTGATATATTAAACACCCCCTCAAAAACTCCTTGTTATTCAAAATCTCCCAACACCAAAAAAGCTGAAATTCCATAGAGTTTTTCAGTGCAACCAGACAAGAGGGTCACCTTCCCTGTTGAAAAGAACTCCCAAAAGACAACGGGTTAACAAATTTTCTGATATACAACAATTCAGCGAAATCGAGTATCATGATATGTACAGCTGACATAGGTATCCAAACACAGGATGAAAATCCAAAAACAATATCTGAAGACCTTTTTTCAAAAGCTTCTGCGAAACTCTTCAAATACGATAAAGGCATATAGTAAATAAAGTTTTAACATTTTTGCGCCTTATTGATCAAAGTTCTACATAGAAATTTGTAAGAAAATTCTTTAAAAATCCTCTTCTCGAAAATAGCAAAGCCATAATTGATCATATTAATATGGAAGCATCCTCAGGTTGTGTAGATTCAAATTTGTTCAAATCATGACCCCCGGGGGTAGGGCGGGCCCAAAATGGCCGATCAAAGTTTTACAAAGAAATATACAAGAAAATTCTTTAAAAAATTTTGGCAAAGCTATAATTGCTCATATTTATATCCTCAGCTAGTATAGATTCATATTTGTTCCTAACCACAATGCTCAGGTGAGCGATGTGGCCAATGGACCTCTTGTACTGAATCATTGCACCAAAGGTTGCCTTTAGAAACAGCATCACACACATTTGTAATAGATTGATGGCAGGGACGTAGCAAGGGGGGGGGGGCTGCCCCCCCCCCCCCCCCAATTTTTCCCCAAAATATTAATTTTTTTTTTCATTTTCCCTTTTTTTGTTTGTTTTTCCCCCCCCCCCCCCCCACTTTTTACCATAGTATAATGATATCAAGAAATTGTAGACAAAAAAACTGAAGTACTTTGCTTTGAAAAAAGTCCCCCCCCCCCCCGAAATAGGATTTTCGAGTTTGGGTTTGGGCAACTTTTAATTTTCTTTTTTTTTTGGCTTGTCAACTTCTTCAGGTAAGTAAAAAAAAATTCTCTGGTTGCCCCCCCCCCCCCCCCCCACTTTCAAAAACGATGCTACGTGCCTAGATGGTAATCTTTTTATTTAAAAAATGCACATTCTTTATTCAAAATGTCTAATTTCACAACCTCACAATCTTTTACAGGGGGTCTGATAGTCGATATTTCAAACTAGGTGTAATTAAATTTCTTTGATATTACATCTAAAGAGAAATTTTGTATCCTAAAACAAAATGATCAAAGTTTTTTGAACATTGAGTTAGAGAATGATTTTGGCCTGTTTATTTTATACGAATTAAACGCCAATTTGTCTTTCTCTTTGCAAGACTTTGTAGAGAGTGGTGCTCATTAACATATGCGCAGAAATCGAATATACTGGCTCAGACTGTGATATATTTTGTTAGGTTGATGGAGTTAAAAGGTATTTCTTTTTTGTCATTTCTAAAAATTCAGAATAATAACGTTCAAAGATTGATATTGACAATAAAATATGACATTTTCAACATTCAAAATTCTCATTTCGACAACATTGATTGCCAAAATTCATTATTTAGATTACTTTGCGACTCCCCCTTTTTTAATCATGAACAGAAATCGACTCCCCCCTCCGTTACCTTTGCACTGAAATTAGAAATCGCCTCCGTACATTCCTTAAACGATCATTTTCCAAATTCAAATTGTCAAACAATAAAGATTATCAAATAATAAAACATTTAGATCACCTACAACCTGGTTATACTGCATAAATATTCATTAATGCATATTTTTTGTCATCGTCAAAGTAAAATTTGTGAATACTGAAAAAAGATCCGAAGTGTTTGAGCATACTAGATGGTTAAGACTGGTAAACTTCTGATGTACATGTACCTTAGTTATCGTATTGTTCCGTGCGATATAGTATTTATGCAAAAACTGTTTCTAAATGCAACAAAAAACCGTGACCTACCTTTCGGCTGTTTTTCAAGCGGAGAAAA